CTAACGGTTTCGGAGATGTAACGAAAAAAGTAAAAAAAAATGCCGTTTGGCGGTCAAAAGTGATCATATACATATGCACATCAAATTATCAGATATTTTATAGAGATTTTAACAATAAGTATAAATTTTATTTACATTCCTATGGGTTCCGTATCAATGTTTATCCTTTAGACAGCAACGCGGCGCTTACGCGCTTTATATTTTGTTTCTATGCAGTCTTAAAGCAGTAAAATTGCTTTGAAAAAAAGTTCAGATCTTCCAAAATATGTCAAAATAAAGAAAACATTTTTTTTTTCAAAAAAAAATAATTTTTTGTCCAATAGTTTATAGTTTCTCAAAAATCTTATTTTTTCGAAGTAAACTTTTTTCAAAAATGTTAATCGTTTTTAAAAAAATAATAATTTTAGGTACGGAAAGTACATGCAATTTGCCTTAAGGAACGATGCCTTAATTGCCTTAAGACAGAATTCCATTTACAGCTAGTTTTTGCGAAAAATAGGAAACGCGCGACGGGTTAAGCGTCGGGCATAAGGTGCATATTCCCCTTCATGAACATTAACATGTTGAAGTTCTCGTCTGAAAGCGAGGCTCGTTTTGGTGTCAAAATGTCTTTACCCGTGGAAAACAAACGTTCAACTGCAGCGCTTGAGGTTATAGCAGTATTGTATTAATAAATAGATTTATGAATATCTGTTCCCCGAGGAATGCAGCATCGTTGAACGAGTCTTTTGATTTCATATCCAGCCACATTTTAACGAGAATTTGCGATATTCTTTAAAGAGTTTGTAGCTCTTTGGTTTTTCTATAGACTGAGTGATAGAATTGAAAAAGTCTTCCTTCTCGTCATCATCGTTGTTACTCGCATTGCTCCTCCGCCACTTAAACTATCTCTGTCCTTCGAATTTTTCGTTGCTTTTTGCCATAAGGCATCTTCTACCTTTTTTCCGTGCATTTTCTTACTGCATCCTCTCTACTGCTGTCATACGTTTCCAGCCACATTAACCGAAACTTTGGGTGAAATGCCGCGGCAGTTGGCACTGTTCATCATTCAGGAGTAGTCCAAATCTTTTCTCTATGCCGTTTAATAAGGCATTGGCTAAAGCTGTGCCTGCGGTAAATAGTAGGCATTGGATTAACGATTAACGGACTTCTCGCATTTTAACGGAAGTTAACGTGTCCGTTAACATTTTTAAAAGTTAACTTAAAAGTTAATCCGTTAATCAAAATGTTAACTTCGTTAATTAACGATTAACGGATTAACGAGTTAATGCCCAGCTATGTATATATATATTTCAATATTTCAGTATTGTATTAATTAAACTGTTTGCAAAATAAAACAATCGCTCTGTGATAACTTTTATTTTTCTTTTAATTATTCAATCAAAATTAATTTATTATTATATGTAGTTAATGTATATGTAAATAATTTAATATAATGAATTAGTATTTTTCTATATTTCAGCCTTGTAATAATTAAACTGTTTGCAATTTTTTTCTTCTTTTAATCATTGAATTTTGATAATATAACATTTTTTTTTACATTATCTAACAGCATTCAGAACATATTGTTGTTCTATGGCTGTTTAGTTCAATATTAACTCAAGTAGTGTTGCACTTGAGTATAAAAGTTGGCATGGTAGATAACCCTCCAATGAGGATTACTAGACACTTAGAGAAGATCTGCTGGTTGTTTCTTCTTGAGTCTTCTGGGTTGAGAGTCCAACAGCAGCGGTTGTATGATGGAATTTACGTGGTTATGTAGCCGGGCAAAGTGGGATATGCTTCTTTTACTGATCACTTCTTGTACTGTTTCCATATGGAGATCATTATGCAGTATTTCGTTGGATACATACCAAGGCGCGCTTGTGATAAGTCTTAAAATTTTTGATTGTTGTCTCTGTAAAGCCTTGATTCTGGTTTTGCTGGCGCATCCCCAGAGCTCGACTCCATAGGTCCATATAGGTTTAATGGAAGATTTGTAAATAAGAACTTTGTTGTACAGTGATAGTTTGGAGTGATGTCCTATTAACCAATACAGTGACCTGACTTTGCTTTGTAGCTCTTTTATTTTTTGGTTTATATGTTGTATCCAGTTTAGTTTATGGTCCAAATGAATACCGAGATATTTGATGTTGGAGACCTCCGGTATAGCCTTGTTATTCATGCTGACAGGAGGGCGTTTACCCTTTTTCAGCGTGAAGATTATATGGCACGACTTGCTTTCATTAATTTTTACTCTCCATTTTTTGGACCAAAGTTCAATTGAGTCTAGATGCTCTTGGAGTACCTTGCTGGCTACAATAGGATTAGAGTCGGTAGCCATTATAACAGTGTTGCCAGCAAAAGTTCCTGTAAGGATGTCGTTGCAAGTCGGAATATCATGGGTATAAATGATATACAAAATAGGCCCCAGAGCACTTCCCTGGGGGACCCCGGCTTCAATTTTGCGAAATGTCGATACCTGCCTGCCTACTTTTGTCCGAAAAGTTCTGTCCGATAAATAGGATTTGAAGAATTCATAGTATTCAGGCATAATTTTGTTGATTTTGATTAGGAGACCCTGATGCCAGACTCTGTCGAACGCTTGGCTCACATCGAGAAGAGCTGCCGTGCAGTATTCTCCTTTCTCAAACGATTTGTAGATTTTGTCAACCACACGATGGCACTGCTGGATCGTTGAGTGCATTGGACGAAATCCAAACTGATGTGTAGGAAATATCTCATATTTAGTCGTGATATCTGACAAAATCATTTTTTCAAATAGCTTGGCAATGGTGGACAAAAGACTTATTGGTCTGTATGAATCTGGTAATTCTGGATTTTTGCCTGGTTTTATAATTAATATAATTTCCGATTGCTTAAGCAATGTAGGCCAGTACTTCAGTCTATAGATGGCGTTGATAATGTATGTTAGTAAAACGTGTCCTTTTCTTGACAGCTCTTTCAGCATTTTAGGTGTTATTAATTTGATGCCAGGGGATTTCCTATTTTGCAGCGCCCGGGTGTGAGAAAATACTTGAGCTGGAGTGAATTTTAGAATACGTAATTCTGCGCTACAATCTGTTGGAGTTCTGGCTATTACAACGGTATTTTTGTCCATGGAAGGATTTGGCTGGAAAACTGTTTCCAAGTGATCCGCAAAACAAACTGCCTTTTCACAATCGGTACAAGCCCAAGTGGGTTCATTGGGAGTATTGATTTTTAGTGGGCTGTTGATTGAATGCTGTTTGTTATTGGTTTTTACGGCACGCCAGATTGAATTGTCTTTTCCATTGAGATTGGCGATGTATTGGTCAAAACACGAGTTATTGTGTTCAAGAAATTTTCTTCTCACCTTGTTATTCAGATTGTTAAGAACAGTTTTATCCTTTGGATCGTGAGATTTTTGCCAAAGACGTCGAGCTTTGCGTTTTTCGGCAATTAATCTTTTAATTTCAATACTTAATGGTTGATCGTCCTTCGGCTTTGATGGTGGTGTTGAGAGGTTTGCAGCATCTTGTAGTACATGTATTAGATGATTTAGAGAATCATCAATGTCGTTCGGTGATTTCAAGCAAATCTTCAAGTCCAATCTTTCAGAAATATTATTACTGTAACGTTCCGAATTTGTCTTCGAGTTGTGTAAAAAAGTTTCAGGAAAACTTACTGCGCAGGTGCAGCTCAGAGTTATTATCAAAGGCGAGTGATCCGATGACAAGTCGTAGGTTAAAATTATCGATATGTTAGACAGATTTAATCCTTTTGTGATGGGAAAATCAAGCAGGTCTGGGTGTTTGTGGGGGTCACTGGGTCAATATGTGGGTGACCATGGAGATACGACGGCAAGTTTCTTAGAGGTGATTGCTTTTTCGAGTTCACGACCTTTAGGCGTAGTTATAATCTTGAACCCCAGAGTGTGTTCTTACAATTGAAGTCACTTCCAACTAGAAATCTGGGACCCATCGTGTTGAAGAATGCTTGAAACTGATCAGATTTGATGGTATGTCTGGGTGGGCAGTAAACTGAAGAAACCGTAATGTCGAATGGTACTACGTTTACTAGTAATGTGGTGGCCTGTAAATAATTTGCATCGTATTTGTTTAGTTCTTGATGGCGTATATTTGACTTTATCAAAACTGCGCTTCCTGCATGACTGGTTCCATCAGGATGAGGCGTGTAGTAGGTCCTGTAGTTAGGAATGTTGAATGTAGCACCATATGACAAGTGCGATTCACTTTTTAACAGTATGTCGATTTTATGCTCGGTAAGAAAGTGAGTAATTTCGCGTCTGTGTTGGCAGATGCCATTGGCATTCTATATAGCAATTTTTAATAAATTAGCCATTATTTTAGTTTACTTACCACAAGGGATATCATATTCATAATCATTGTATTTTGTTGCATCATTTGTTTTATTTCGTCCTTTAGGTCGTTGATTACGGATGTGATTGCAGAAACTTCTTGATTTACATGATTTTGTGTTTTTAGAACCTGTGAGTAGCTCAAGTGATCAGATGTTTGATTGGTGTAGGAAATTCGTTCCCGGTTTTTAGTAATATTTGGCTGCGAATGGTTCTGATGCTGGGAGGACGAATTCGTCGAGTTTTTGTTGTGTTTCGGAAAAAATGGGCAACCCTTATAGTTGGCGGGATGCTCGTCGCCACAAAGGAAGCAGCAGGCTGGAGTGTCCTTTGGTTTTTTACACGCAGGAGTAGGATGATTATCACCACATTTTAAACATGCATAAAGGCGGTTGCAATATGTCCTAGTATGTCCCCAGAGCTGACACCTATGGCACTGGATAACGTCCTTGGTTCGTCTTGACGGTTCAAAAAACACTATTTGATTCATTAGCTTGTCAATTTTGTAAATCGCCGAATTGTTACTATTTGGATCTAAATCCACAAAAAATATATTTAACGGTTTTTTTTGTGATGCGTTGTTTCAAGTTTGTAATGATTCTCACTGTATGTCCGTATTTCTCGATGGCTGTTTTAATTTCATTTATATCGGTTGTATAATGCTTATATTTGAGCACCACTCTAAATACACGCTCGCTGCTTATTTAATAGGTGTGGAATATAATGTTGTTATTTTTCATAAACTTGACGGCATTTCTATAAACGTCTGCGTCAGTGACGTTAATTTTAACCATATCATTAGGCAGAGTTTTCGTGACAAATTGACCCGGTTGTAAAGCGGCACTAATCGTTTACATCATATCGGCAAAATCATTGACATTGTATATATAAATTGGAGGCGGTTTTACGGTTACAGCAGTCTGACTGTTTGCTGTGTTTGTAGTATTAATACCGTTACCGGTGTTACTTGGCGTTTTGTTTGATAATACACTAAATTTGTTGGTCAATTCCAGAGGATTGATTTTTGTACCACACACTTTACGCTTTTTACCACTGCACGGAACTGTCTGCCACTTGTGTGTATTTGCCGGCACTGTATTTGTCACTGGATTAGCACTGCTACAACACGGCTGCTTGATTGAGTTGTTAATATTGTTGTTAATATTTGGAGATGTTGTTATTTCACTTTGATCACTTTGATTTTCGTTGTAATTATAAAACATATCACTATCATCATCAATTGAGTTCAATATGTTCATAGCCGACGCAATTGTTGTTCCAAGTGATGAACAGTTAGTGTTTATATTTACGTCAGGCGGTCGGCCGGGGCGATCGCCTACGTTCGACGCCATTGTCCGTATGACTCAGTCACTCAGGTATACAATAATTTTGTTTTGATTGATGTGCACTGGTCGGTGTCCCGAACAGAACTGATAACAATTTATTGACTTCTAAATTTCGTTTCTAAAGACGTTAATCTCTCTCGGTTCGTTCAATCACAAAAAAAAAAAAAAAATAAAATTTTTATATATTTTTACGTTTCTAAAGTTTCTGAACATTTTTGCGTATCTTAGAAAAACATTAATGTGTGTGTTTGTTTGTGTTCAGATACA